CTAAAGAAAGGAACAGGTCCCACAATCTTCAGACCTCAATTTTACTTTAAGAGGATATCCGGACTTTAGAACATATAAATAAATGGATTTAACAGATCTATAGCTGTCTCAATGTACCTAAACGACAAAGCAAGACAACCAAGAGAAAAACTACATCTCGGACTAATTATTCTTATGGAAAATTGACGAACTCATCATCCCGTATTCTTCTGTTTCTTTCTCTAAGTATGGACGCATTTTATTTTGTTTAGCCTTCGGCTGTAGGGGCAATGCAAAATATTATGGCAGACATCTCTCGGCTAATGCCCCACGATGGTCACAAGCGGCGTAGATTGTGGGATCTCTCGAGGAACCGAATGATTTTCGTGCGGAACGCAACCAGGGCGTAATGTCCCGGAGGTATTTACTAAACTCATCGCCCTCCCAGTGCCATTACCATGCCTTGAGGCTACTTCCAAGTCATCGTTATTCTCGGAGATTATATTATCAGGCGTTCAGGGCTCCCACTCTAAGCGTTCGCAAACACAGACGATCCGTTTAGAGTAAGGGAACACCATCATCAAGGAGTGGCGAACTTTATGGCAACGTCCTCTACTGATCGCATTTAGCGGTCTCCTGGACAATTCCGGAGTCTCAGTACACACAGATCCTGGCTGGAGGAGGGGTCCTTACTAGACCAGCTTACCTGGATCGTTTGCTCCTATTCCTGGGCACATCGCAACTATTTGGGACACGGAACCTTCTTAGCGCCCGACGCATGAATACTGTTTCCCGTCGCTTTGTAGTAAGTAGATAGTCTGTAGGTGAGTCTTCTTGCTTGTTGCTGTATCTAGTTTTGGAAGACCTACATATAGTATTGCTTCTATAACGCGTTTAAATTTGTAACTAAGAAAAATACTTATTTTCCTCAGTTAAAAAAAGTTAATTTATTTTACGTGAGCGACCTTCGTGGTGCCCAGCGTGCTACGAGTATCTATATCGTTAACGCTTTCGGACACTCTTTCCGTTTAATAGATTCAAGCGCCTCGTGTGGCTCATTACTACTACTTTGGCGGAGAACTCGGATCCGGTCGTACAACCTCGCATCCATGTCCATTTGCAAGTATATCCAGAGGTATAAACAGAAATAGAGCTTTAACTTAACCGCCTCACAGGATATACCTATCATCGTAAGATCCGTGTGGGCCTTTCTTTGCTGGACACTAGATTTTAGTTAGACAGCGTCTAATAATCAGCTTTTTCGCTCATACGCTCAATTTAGATGCCGAAAAGAGCCTATACCCACACAGCAAACGTCTACTTACATGGTACAGCTCTCAGAAGGTTGTAACAGAGACGAATCAAGACATTTATAGACTTCTTGACAATATAACTCTCAGGGCTTCTTTACCATTTTTTTAATTACGTGAATATTTATTTTTTACGGGCTCTGTTTCAAGTTTCCTTTTGATTAATTCGGCTCTGGTGTTTGCGCAAATTTTCATCAGAGAGACCATGTTTTAGTTGTATCAAGTTAATGTGTGTTGAAGAAGAATATGCGGAGTTTCCTTCATTTCGTATTTTTTTAAAGAAGAGAGACTAACGAGCTCAGAGATTACCTGTTGGTAAGAGGATGCTCTGGCCCATAGACATCTACATCTATACTCGGTTAATTATCAAAATGCAGATATGCTATAACCCCTGTAGACAAAGATGTTGACTTCGTTACCAGTAAGAAAGGTTTCGTCGTCCACTATACGAAACACAGCAGCGTTATAATGCCATTTTATTGTGATATTCTGTGTGAGTGTGGTCCTTCCACGATAAAGCCAAAGTAAAAAATTAAGATATAAAATTATTGTATCTTATTTATATCTATCATATTTTACGTGTAACTTATTCTTTTATATGCATTTAAATATATCCCAACGGGACGAAAATACCATAAAATGATAATCATATCTGACATTTTGGCAGTTAAACAGACTGTCAATTGCGCTGGTAATTAATTTAGACGATCGGTTGACTTTACTTTTCACCTACAATAATTTATTTTGTAATTGTATTTTAGGATGTACTGTACCGTGTAGTTGCGGTTTAAGAATATAAACCATTTACTTTCATCCCGTGGGTGTCGTAAGAAGCGACAGAAAGAAAAAAAAAAGAAACGTGAGCAGCAGCGTCTTCCTAAAGACAACTAGAAAATAAAAAACTGCGGTTGCTAACTAATAAGCTAAACTAATTGCAAACCCCTAATAAGGCAATCTATGGGGAGGTACATGTATACTCTTGACCGCCTCGTTGGTCTAGTGGCTGTAGTAGTGCGAATACTGATCATGAGGTCCTGGGTTCGAATCCCGGGACGGGCCAAAGAATCAATTATTGAGTTTTTCTGTCAAGAAATTCTCAGTAGCTGCCCGGAGTCAGGAAGTTGGCGGTGTCTCACCCCCGTGCCTCGGAAAGCACGTAAAGCGTTGGTCCTGCGCCTATCTCCTCAGTCGTGTCGGTTTACCGTCCCATCGGATTAAGAGAGTGAGGGAATAGAGAGTGCACCTGTGCTTGCGCATACACTTGGGAACTATAATCCTGTCCGTGGCCGAAATTCGGTCAGGAGGACGTTATTATTACATGTATACTCAATAATAATAATCAATAAATAAATGAAGGTAAGATGATGTTGAAAAGAAAACTTTAAACCCACGGTTTTAAATAGTAACAGGAAGTAAATTTATGCTTCAAAATCAATTTTTTTTATTAGACGACACAACTGATTAAATCATGACTTAAAAGCTATAACTTACAATAATAATGGTGTGATACAAGACATAATCCTTATACGTGTTATCACGACAAGATTGAAAAACAAACATTTTAAATAAAATTGCTTAAACTAAGATGCTCATAAATCCAACAAATCAAGAACTATAACTATAATGAATATCAATCAAAAGGGATGTCCCTGAGAATGTCTTTCAAAACATTTCTAAAGAGAACCAGGCTAGAGTTGACGATATCAGGGTTGGTAAAGCGAAGGCTATAATCCTCATAAAGTCGACATAACCTTGATAGGGGTTGGTTCTGGGAGATATTATTTCGCGATAATTTTCGACGACAACAATGACGACGAGTATGTCAAATATTTTTCTCATAGGTCTACGTGGGTTGTGTTTTATGTTAAAATTTAACAGTTCCAAGACATCGGGGCTGTCTAGTTCTGAGTGTATTATTTTGTGTAGGTTAACTAGATCCAAGTCGTAACGTAGGTGTGTAGTATATGTCAAACTCTTTAAGCCTCTCTTCTATAATTGCCGGTAACGTAAACGCAAAAACTAGCAAAAAATCGACTTTAAATTTTGAAAAGAGTATTTTTCAAAGATCTTGCGAAAAGGGTATATGGTATAAAACCTTGCAATGTGAGCTTCGATTGATATTGATTTCGTTACGGACATAAGTATTTGTACTCTCTGTTCGCAAGCCCACTCCCTATTCCCTTATTTTCATAGTCTGATAGAAGTAACACGACACGACCGGAAAGAGCTCAGGCGGCTTTACTTGCTTTCTTCACTATTGAAAATTTTTGGGCTACTATTGAAAATTTCTGAACAAAAACCCAATTAATGATTTTGTCCAGACGTGGGATTCGAACCGGGGACCTCATGATCATCAATATCGTTTATGACCACTAGACCAATGAGGAATTCTAGTACCTGTACCTACCTATGTACCTAATATACGAGTACAAATATTTAGAGAAAAGTTTTGTTTATTGTTATCTCCGTCTGGAACTTTCTTAGACAAATCGCTTTTAATTGCTTAATAAAATATAGTTGACTTCATACCTAATTTACGATTACATAGGATTTCTAGTTGTCAAAACACTTGAGTGAACACATAAAACAAATCTACGTGGTAGAGCCACACTTCAGTTATATTATAGTTGTAGCACGAACGGGTCGGCCCGACCGGGGTAGGACCGCGCTCTCACATAATAGAAGCGTGAAAAAGCAGCTTAATGCTGTTGTGTTTCGTATGGTGAGTTTAAAGAATCAGAGACTCTATATATTGGAAACGAGCTATTTCATCTCAGTCCTCAGGGGTGACAACTCATCTTCATTTTGATTCTTAAACGAGCCTAAGTGTAGATGTCTATGGGCCACAGCTCATCCACTTACCATCAGGTGAACTGTGTGCTCATCTGTTACCGTTTTTAAAAAAAATATAGAACATACAAGTAGGTATCGTAGTCGTAATTTAAAAAAAAAGTAAAAAAAAAATCTTTTATAATTCTGGCATAGAAAATTTGTTTTTTAATCACACCGCTACGAAATGTTTCCTAAACATTAACTTTTCAAAACCAATTACTTTAACCATTAATGTTCATTATGTTATAAATAATATACGTAGACGTGTCAATTATTTGCCTCGCGGTAAAAATAGTTCTTTTTTTTTAATTTTTACTCATCTTTACTCTGGTTAAAGAAAGCCACGCCTTACGGCTTTTGAAATAGTGCCGAATGAACACAACATGAAACACCCATCAAGACGCTATAATTGAAAGCACTCCTAAGGTGAAATGTGTATAAAGTTGTGTTTGCAATAACCAAATTGAACAATTATTGAATTGACTAATTTCAGATCTATCGTTAGTGATATAGAGACGAAAGTTGTGTTCAATTTGCGCAAATGGGTGTGTTCAAGCGATGTTTACAGGCTACTTTTTCGTTGCCTCTCCGCACATGTTGTTTTCGACACCACATAGTGCCGGAGCCAGAACAGTGCATTGAGTCCATTAGTTCACACATTAGCATGAGTTAGTCGAATTATTTAATTAGGTAATTCAATAAGGTAGTGAATTAATATCAATTATTTAGCGTCGTGATCGAAACGATACTGGACGTTGGCTTTTATTTAAATTGAATGTGACGCACTTACGAAACTGAAGAAATTTTTGTTTAACCAATAACACAAATTTTACGCGTTTATTATAAGTGATACTGATAAGCAGATTGGCAAATATTGGAATGGAACAAAATAAAGGTGAGCAAAAAACTTAAATCTGTCACTGCAGTTAAAACTAAATCATTTACCTATTGTATTTCCTTTAAATAATTTATTTTGGTGTTTTTAATCTACCGCTATTCGTGCCCATAGACTGATTAATTTAAAGCAACGTAGGCAACGACATCCTTTTCTACAGCCCCTCTGACTGAGGAAAATACTTTTTACGTGTATTAGAAGTTCATAAATTCTTTGCATTGCTTAGGAGCTTCTACATGACCTAATCCGTCCCATCTCATGCTCTTATTTTATATCTTTGATAAAGCTTGAAGGCGTGACCTAAGAAAGGTGTGAGATATGTATGTGTCATAACTGCTGTATGTGTCATAATTAAATCTCAAAACATTGCATCTGTATTGATGATACAATTTTTATAGAAGTGAAAAAAATTGTAGACATACGGCTAAGTGAATACCCAAAAGCTACTCAATTTAAAGATCTATATCTAGATTATAAGTCTCGTGGTCTCGCAGTGATAGAGACACTACGATACTATCGGTATCTTAAAATTGAGAAGCGTTTGAGGAATTTTGCAAGTTAGATACTCAGTTTATACTAAATAAAGGTATAATGTCAGTCGGTGGTTTGGTCATGTAGAAAGAATGAACGAGAAAAGAGTGACAAAGCAAATTTACAGTGCAGATGTGAATGGCAGAGTCGGGAAGGGACGCCCTAAAAGAAGGTTTATCGACCAAATTGACGATATTTTGAAAATGGACCACATTAGGAGTACCCTTAACCGACGAATGTGTATGCGTAGGTATATAATATTATATACAACGGAGACGAAAGAGGTGTGTCAGGATCGTGCCAAGTGAAAGTTTGCGACGTTAACCTCTCAATGTAATAAATGGATCTTTTATTTAAATAGTGTAAATTATGATGTAAAATTAGTAGAGTTATTAAACAAATATTTATTATTATAATAAGCCCGTAGTCTCTGCCAACCCCTCTGGGTGACAGGCATGAGTGTTTATGTTATTTAATGTCACTCGTGTTCCTCTTTACATATTATACATAGAAAATAACTAAAATAAAACAATCCATTTTAACTTTAGTTAGTCTTCTAATTCTTCATACGGCACTACAGAACTCTACTAGTTTAGATATATTATCCCGTAGCGTAGAACTTGTCGACATAGTGATAGCTAACACAGTTGAATAGGTATCCAAGTTTAACAGTGAAGATTTCATTTATGAGATGATTTTTTGACCACTTGTATCGGTTAACTTATTTCAAAGACATTGTTTTTGTTTATGTAAGTATTAATTATTTAAAGTAAACAATTCTATCTTTTTAAAACTACTTACAAACTTAAATCAACATTACCTACCTAACTATACATGTACTGGATTTTGTTCGCCTAAACCGCAAAGTTAGGGTAGAGCTCATGTACGTAATGTATGGTAGAGCTTACTCTCTTCTTTTAGTCTCTTTTTTAACTGAGTTTCAAAAACCGAGAAATTACTAAAATAGTTTTTTTATGTATTTTCACCGGATTCTCTGAAACTACTGAATCAATTTTAATAATTCTTCTTTTATTAAAGGGGTCAGGGATAGGTACTACTCCCAAAAATAGTGAATTGTTTTTACGTGGCAGAGCCAGGCTGCAGTTATATTAGTAATAGATATAGTTGTAGCGCAAATGGGTCGTCTCGACCGGGGAAGGACCACGCTCTCACAGAATACCAGCGTCAAATAGCAGCTTGATGCTGCTGTGTTTCGTATGGTGAGTGTAGAGAACCGGAGACCTTTTTTTACAGGAAACGAAGCATTCCATCCAAGTCCTCACAGGTGAAAACGCATCTGTATTTTGATTTGTAATAGAAGATAGATATAGATGTCTATGGGCCGCAGCAACCACTTACCATTAGATGGACTGTGCGCTTGTTTATCACTATTATTCTTTTTTTTTAAATTAGCTATTCCCATACAATAATTTAGTTTGGTATTTTGTTACGGGAAAACGCGACTAAGGCTTAAATTATATTTGTTTTGCAGAAGAGACCTATAAGAACCATCTATGATTTTATGATTTGCAACGTAGAGTCTCAGGTCTCTCTATACATTTACGAAAATGTACTGAGACCCGTTTTACTGGAATCGAGGCATTCCATCTTGGTCCTCAGGGATGACGGCGCATCTGCATTTTGATTCTTAAGCGAGGTTAAAAATGTTGATGTCTACGGGCCTCAGCATCCACTTACCATCGGGTGGACTGTGTGCTCGTTCGTCACTCTTATACTATAAAAAAATGTATGTACACAAAAATTAAAGTAGTTTAAAAAAAGAAAGTGATATTCATTCCGCAAGTACTAGGAACAGTCGTAAGCTAGTAGTAGTCTACCAGTTACTTGAATCCACAGTGTCAGAAATTCATTCTTACGGCGATATATTATACAGTTTTTCAACAAAATCCCAGAAAAATTACAAAATTTGTACTCCACCAAATTTAAAACTTTTTTAAACACAGATTGCATAATAAGGGTTATAATAATATTAAGGAATTTATAGAGTACCTATAATAACACCTCGGAATGAGGTCATCGCTACAAAGTTATTTCTAGTTTGTTTTTGTAATTAATTGTAGCATAATAAGTATATGTTTGTAAACTGTTCTTTTTCCAAAACAACATGTCTCGCTGAATTTCTTGCTGGTTCTTCACGGTACAGAGGTATTTTCCGAACTAGTGCTAAATACTTAATAATGACTTTCTAAGTAATTTATAATCTATATTGAATAAAAAAGTTTCTAGTTCTATTTCTATCGTCATTAGCCCGTAAATGTCCACTGCTTACCATGAGCCCATGACGTTGTCGGTAGGATTTGCCTGTATATTGCTAAGCACGTAGATATGATAGTAGAGAGATGATCTTAGTAAAAACTTATCATACATTATTTGCGTATTCATTTTCTTATTTTTTAAATATTTTTAGTATAATCTTCATACTCGTAAATACACAATTATTCTACTTCTTTTTCTTTCTTTTTAATTTTCTTTAATTTATGGAAACGTTTGGTCCAGTCTTCTATCCAAAAGTCCTATTATCTTGACTTATCTCTCGGAACCGTGCACCACTGCACCCTAGTCTAGAAACGTTAAGTTTATACTTACTTTTTTATTGGTGTGGGTTTTAAAAAAAGGCCAAACGACGGGCCTGTTCCTCCTGTCGACCAACCTGTTCCTCCTGTCGGCGGGCCTGTTCCTCCAGCATCATCATGAGAGCACCTAAGTCAGGTACTGCAGGTGTAGGATCTGCTGACGGGCCGGCTTCCGTGGCCGGCAGTTAGCCCTCCGACCAAACCACCATCAAATCTTCTCTGGTCCGTCTCCTGCTGGCATTATCAACCCGATTGTTCACTTGCTTGATTCGGGTTTTAGCTTCCGACAGGCGGTTGTCATGTTGAGCAACCCTATCCTTCACCTCCCTTATCTCTTTCCCGAAGGTAGCGTGAAGGTTCTTCATGAGGAGCATCTGCTCTTCCAACCGACGGGCCTGTTCCGCCTGATGGCGGGCCTGTTCCGCCTGCTAATCTTCCAACTGACGCAATTGACTAAGCAAGCTAATATATCAAACTGTTATTACTGTTTGGTTTTTAAGTAAAATGGTTGTGTTATGTCCCTTCCTAATGACTGTCTTTTTTCCATTGTCTTGACAATTTTTGACTTTCGCCGGCTAATTTACAAAAAGAAAAACCCATGCGGCTGACTAACGTTTTAGGCTCTTATAGCTGTCGTCCCCTGACATTATATTTACCGCCATCATCATTACTGTCTAGATTGCTGTACGTAGGCTTTCCCTAAGGAATGCCACAAAACACGGCACTGATCCACCAGCATCCATTGACTTCCTGCATCTCTTACCATGGATGGGTAGGAGATCTGATCGATGGGGAACTTCCCTGCACTCTGCTTACCGGTATCTACGAGTTTGCTGCTCCAGAACTTTATTCCCAAATATTATTATTTTATAGAACAAGGGAACACACAGGCCACGATATCAAGCGGATGCATCTATCCTCGATCAAGAATCAAAATACAGGCGCGTTGTCACCCCTAAGGACTAAGATGGAATGATTCATATCCAGAAAAAGGGTTTTCTGTTTTCTACAATTACCATACCTACATAACATTGAGATATAATTTCATGCTGGTATTCTGTGAGAACGTGGTCCTTCCCCGGTGGAGCCGACCCATCCATGCTACAACCATAATATCAAATTAGTAGTATTTACTCGTATTAATAGGTCATTTTCATAATATGTCAATGTAAAAACAAACAAATTGTAAAATATTAGTGGCTTATCTTCCGTTCACCTGTTCCAGACGGTAAAATATCATCCATTATATATAGAGCCAATTACAGGCTGTGAAGAATTTCATCTTAGTGGTGTTAACGCGTCTGTAGGCTTTGTTTGAAGTTAGTTGCACATGTCCATTAGCTGCACTAGCATTTTACCATCAGGTGGACTGTGAGTTCATCCGCCACTTCAGTTTTATATAAAAACTAGGGACCAGCCCGGTTTCGCCTGGGTGGCGTTATAAATTCTCGTCTCTTCTCTACTATTATACGCATGTATTATACATGCCAACTTTCCTATTGAATCATTCTGTCTATTGATGAAATTCGCATCAAAATCTGTTGGGTAGTTTAAAATATCTAAGCGTACGGACGGCGAGAAGCGACTTTGTTTTAAACTATGTAGTAGTGACAGTCTAACTACTAATAAAAGTCGACAGTCGGTCATCGAAGGCGTGTAGACGGGGAAATCGTGCGGTGTAGTGAGGGGCGGAACGCTCCCGAGCGGACGTTAGTAGCTCGGGAACTGTCCGCTAGGGTTGTCTCGCAAATAAATTAGAATTGTATACTCTACTTCTGCAGTAAAAAACTGTGGGTCGTCCTTTAGTAATTTTCATTTGTCTTGATTTTATTTTATTTTACTTTTTTAAACGTGAAATTAGATGAAATCTGTTTTTCATTTTTTTGTTACTTCCTGTTCTGACAACCTTAGTAAATTATTGTTTGTGCCGGCTTTTCTGATTTAAATGGAACGCGATGAATAACTGTATGTTCTTCTCAGGCTGTGGTAGAATAATTCATACCCATCAAGAGGTTGTTGTTTGTAATCAAACAGATTTTTTTATAGTTCTGGTGGTTAATAAATAAAGAAGATACTTAATCTTTTTTACTGTAGGTATTGCTGACATTATCTACCGCAAGCAAACGGGCATACAAAACCGTTTACACGTGTCGTGAAACTGATAGGGCTGTTCAGTGCTCATGCCGACCGCCAGAACTCAGTCAACAAAGACTTATACAGAACGACCGCCGATGCGTGCGCGCTTTGACATAATATGTTTAAAACGATCCATTGTTTCGGAGCAAATTGTTTAATACACATACGAGTATTTCTTTATCCGATACTGTTTCCTTTTTAATATATTTTTGAATTTACGATCAGATCAAATAAATTATAGTTAAATATATACTTTTTTATTCAGATAATACTGGCAAGCAAAATGTTCCAGCGAAGATCTACGATGCAAGAACGCAATCTATGAATTACAATAATTCTGGAAATTATTCGGAAAATAATCACAACCTTTTCCAAATGATAAAATGCCACGAGGACAGCCTTTTAAGACTTCACCACTTGACAGCTGGCCGCCAAATAAATGGCACGTACGACCCGAACTATCAAAATGATTTGTCTTGGTATTCTAAAGACTTGCAACGACAGTATATTAAGCCTGTAGATTATATATCATACGAAGATGTGAGACGAAAATACAATGACACCAAAGGTGCGAAAGAGCAGGAATTACACAAAGAGTCGGAAGAAGAAAAAGATGGAAAAGCAGACGAGAGAAAGAAACCGAGGAGAAATCGAACGACGTTCACTAGTCAACAATTAGCTGCGTTAGAGAAGGTATTTGAGAAGACTCATTATCCAGATGCTTTTGTAAGAGAAGACTTGGCGGCTCGGGTGAATTTAACTGAGGCGCGGGTTCAGGTATGATTTAACAATTGTTTTATACTATTTTTTATACTTGTTTTTGCATCATTAGTCAAAAACAATCCCTCTACTAAATAGAGACGTATCTAAAAGTAGTGTCGTATTCGATAAAATTGGCAAGGTCGCATTTCTATACCTACTACTAAGGAAATAAAAAAAATTCGTTGTGCGCAAGTAAACTAAGCGGTGAAGGTAATTGTGCCGAAAAATATAGGCATATAAAAATAATGTATACGAGAAAAAATAGGAGGTCCTAAATTAAACTATATGTTTTTTTTATATGTATGTTACGTGATATCTTCGTTATTCAAACTAAAACATGTAAATTTATTTATTACGTATATATTACAGTATCTCTAATAATATGTACAAATAATAGTATTTATGTACTCATAAATTACCTATTCTCTCTCTTCTATACATATAATAAATCTGTAGAAAATTCGTGTCTGTAATTTTAATATTTTTTTTTTTGAAAAAAAGCTACAGGTACAGGTACAGGTGACTAAATAAACAGCCCTGAAGTACCAAATAAGTGGTTTTTAGAATTTTTGCCTGTCTGTCAGTCTGTCTGTCTGTGTATTCAGTATTCACGATTCACGCAAAAACTACTGATAGATTTCAATGTTTTGTGTTAGTGACCTAGGGCAACTTATAAGCTTTTTATCCGATTACGGAACTTCAAAAAAAGAGGGTTAAATATTTTCCTTCCTTCTTACATTCCTTTTTACATCCCTTTCTTCCATTTCCTTCTTACATCTTAATGTAAATTTCTATTTTATATACTTCATGTGATTTTAAAATAAATAACATATTTATAAATAATGCCTAAAATTAGTTTTTTACCGTTACGTAATAATTTTATAAGCCAACAATCTACGTTTTACATTTCAAAACAGTGCCATCTAATGTAAATTACAAAAACTAGTAACATTTTGTCTCCAGTTATTAATAAATTAAATAATATAAATAACGTACATTTATATGTTTAGATAATTAAATTCACAGTTGATTTGAAAATTATTACGTTAATTTTTTTAGATCTTTCGTTATTTCATTTTAGTAGGAATAAATTCTTTAGCAACTGATTACTACTTAAATAGATAATGAATTTTATGATTTTCGATAGTGATCAAAAATCATAAAATTTGAGATGTTTCTAATTTAATTTCAAAACTATGAAAAAGTTTTTAGGACTTATTCGTTTTTTATTAATACATAAACTGATAAGAACTGCAATTATTCAAAGTTCTCATTATCGTGATCGTTTAAATAAAGAGATTTTTATATATGTACTGGCCAGATCTTACAATAAATATAATTACAAAATAGCCGATGATTAGGAACTTGAAATGGTGGCATTCCATAAAATTGAACACTGATCACTGATTGTTGACTATGTCATGAGATAGCTTGACGAAATTAATGAATGGAGATTGTTTAGCGATGTTAACAACCAAACAAAACTTTGCTATTTCTTGATAGTATTATATCGTAAAATAACCCACCACCCCCGTCGCACCTCAACTTACTGTCACTGAGTAGGTACTAGAGGGTACAGTTTTGGTTTTCATAGTTTTAATCTAATAATAGTGCTGCTAAATAAACTTATAATAAATAACTGATCAAATTAAAGAGAATTCTATTGAATACTCATTCTTGCAATATCTAAAATTATCAGACTTAAAATGTCCATACCAGTGGCCACTGTCGGAATGATTTATCGTATTTGTTATAATTTATTGATAGCTTCCATATTTTTATACATAACAACCTATTAAGATTTTTGTGATAGTCCCGGTTTCCTAGCTCAAATGAGTAAATGAACTGGCTGTTGTGAAAAGGTAGGTAATAAATATCAAAGTAAGCAAATTTTAAACACAGCTTTATTTTTATTTAACTATGAATTAGAACTGTATTGATAGAATCCTGAAAGTTATATGTTTGACATTATATGTTTGCCGATAATCGAACTGATCCAAACACAGTAACCGTAAGCAACCCAAATTCGATCCACGGCGACGCCACTCATATTTTATTCGCAATTTTAAGTTTCGATTTACTACGTTCTCAATGGTGAAGGAACACATTACGAGGAAACCAGCATAACTGAGAAGTTAATAATGAAATATTTCTGAAATTATTTTTACTTATATGTGAAGTCGTATGTCCCGCGTTGGAGCCAACTCTTTGAGCGTTTGAAAAGTAACACTTCTTTGAGCGAGTTCCACAGAAAAATTCAGTTGAAAATTATTATAGTTAACATTTGCTTACATCGGCTATAGTATTTCAGTGCATAAAGTGTGTTAATATATATTAGTGATACAAACAGCCACAATAAAAGTGTAAATTATCGTAAATAACTAAATATTTTCCAAGAAATTATTTTTGTGAAAATTTGTGCGGTCAGTTGAACATTTGTACTGTCACAGTGTCCAGAGTACAATTGTGATCGAATCTCACGGTTGCGTGCAGCGCAGAAGCACTAGTATCGCGCGCATAAGTTTGTTGTACCATGGTGTGACGTTACTCAAATCACGTGTCATAGATTAAGCACTGCAGATGAGACACGCATATAAGAACTACGCGATTGACTCTGGGAGGACGATATTTTGATCTTATATTTTATGACTAAATTTCTTTCATTGTATTTTTTTTTTTTTTTTTTTAAAAATTATTATTAATTAAATTATATAATTAATTATATTTTTATAATTATAAATTTGTAAAATATTAATAGTAGGATGTCACGATCTAAGTGGGGTTGTTGTTTACCGCAAAAGGATAACGACGATGACTTTATAATATGTTCAAAGTGTAAAAAACATTATCATATGGCATGCGTGTCCCTTGATATAACTTTGTTCGGCACCGAAATGCGTACTGGGTGGACCTGCCCTGAATGTAGTCGTAACATCTCTAAATCTGTAAAAAAGGACAACACACCTGTTCGCAACGTATCGAATGTAAGAGGAAGTAAAAAGACCTGCACTACATTCTCCACCCACCCAGGAGACCAGTAGCATTTCTCGAGATGACTTACGCGAGGCAATAGAAGAAATTATGGATAAGAAAATAGAGGAATTTTTTTCGAGGATGGAAGATAGAATCAGCATGATTATCGATAGTAAAATGAAACCGTTAGAAGAAGATATTACTGAAATTAAAAAGTTTTTAAACTTCGCTGACGAGAAATATGAAGAAATGAAAAAAGGGGGTCGAGGTCTTTAAGCTCAGAATATCAGATTTGGAAGCTGCAAAGGAAAACCTTAGCTCTACAGTCGATGACCTTAATCGAAGAATTAATCAAATGGAGCAACAAGCAAGACAAAATAATATTGAGCTTCAATGTGTCCCGGAAAACAGAAATGAAAACCTCATTAAAATAGTTTGTGATCTTGGAAAAACTGTCGGTTGTCAACTGAAAGAGATGGACATACTAAACTGCACCCGCACTGCCAAGCTAAATCGAAGCTCTCCACGCCCACGATCTATAATTGTGCAATTATCTTCACCTAGGTTACGCGATGAGCTTCTCGCCGCGTCTATTAAATATAATAAGGGGAAAGCGCTTGAAAGTAAACTGAACTCTGCGTCACTAGGATTTCCAGGAGACAGGACACCAGTCTTTGTTTGCGAACATCTTTCTCCTACAAACAAGGCTCTTCACGCTGCAGCTAGGAAGAAGGCGAAGGAAGCCGGATATAAGTTTGTTTGGATTCGAAATGGCAGAGTATTCTTGCGGAAAAGTGAGGAAACTGAGTACATTCTGGTGAAAAGCTTGGATACGTTAAAAAACATAAAATAATTCGTTGATGCTCATAACATTGATTAATATCTTTTGCGGTGCTGGTATGCCATTGTCAATTTTCTTTTAAAATTCGATTTAATTAAGTTATACTACCAAAATACACGTGGACTGAGAACTAAAACACATAGCTTTCTTCAAGGAGTACTTTGTAATGATTACGATATAATTGTACTCACAGAAACGTGGTTAAACGACTCCGTGTCAAGTGGTGAGCTATTCGACGAAAGGTATGTGGTTTATAGAAGGGATAGGAGTAATGCCAAATTAATTCACAAAAAAGAAGGTGGTGGTGTTCTTGTGGCGGTTTCGAGACGGATACCTTCTAAACGTATGTACAGTTGGGAATCTAAACTTGAAGACCTCTGGGTCACACTGGAAATTCCGATATCACATTCCTTGCGTCGAGTGGCTCTCTGCGCAGTGTATTTGCCACCTCCAGTGCACAGTTCAATGTTGAGTCACTTTATCGAAAGTTGTAGTGTTGTACTTGATAATAGTGATTGTTGCTGTATTTTAGGTGATTTTAATTTGGCATGTATTGATTGGAGTTTGGTGGCGGATACTTCCTATGATTATAAGGCGCCGGGTTTATGTCAACCACTGTTGGATTTATTAAGTTTATATGAACTCAAACAACATAACAGTGTACTTAATAAATCTAACAGAATACTTGACTTGGTGCTGTCTAATTTTCCGGCTTGCATAGTACGTCAGAGTCACTCAATATTTAGTAGCATTGACCAACTACACCCTCCCCTAGATGTAGATATTTCATTTATCAGAGAATCAAGACTTTCGTTTAATCACCAAACTTTTAAATTAAACTTCCACAAAGCCGATTTCTTTAATATTAATAAAGAACTCCAAGGGTGTGATTGGGTACAGATATTTGGGGACAGCAGTGATGTCAATACTATTCTTGGAAAATTTTATAATACAATTGGTGCTATAATAGAAAAATATGTTCCTAAACATAAATTGAAAAAGTCACGATATCCCCCCTGGTTTGATCGTAACTTAAAACGATGTTTAAATGAAAAGTACAATCTTTGGCGTCGTTATAAAAAATATAAAAACCCTATGGACGAACTGGAGTTGAAGTTATTAAATTCACGTTGCACCCGTTTAGCTAAAAATTGTTATAATAAATACATTAGCGATTCGGAAAAAAACATCTCAAAGAATC